GTCCCCTAAGAAAGAAATTAGGAATTAATATGGACAATGTGGACATTAAGGATTTATTGCAGCGAATGATAACTTTTAAATGACTTTAGTATGTAATGCAACATATCATTGTTTTGAGACAAACTTCAAACCTATCATTTTAAGTCATTTCCAAATTGATGCAAAAAATGATACTTGTTACTCAATAATATTAATGTTTACTTTATTTGACTAGTTTTCTTATGGATTTGTGTGCACTTGTCAGCAATCAGGCTCCCTTTATAAACATGTATAGTTCTGCCTCATAGTGTTAATATTTTCCCTTATAGTTGAGTCTCTCACTTAAAGCACAGCGTATTACATTATATATTACAATCCACACGCCCCTCTTCTTCTTCCTTCTTGCATTTGTGTTTTAGCACTTGTCTGTGCTCAATGCTCTCACTGGCTAAACAGATTTCTATAGATCTATGTGAATCCACTGGGCTGTTTCCAGCAGCTCAACGTTGCTGCTCGTAGAGAAGCCGTAGTTCAAGAAACTGGCGACGCGCTGCTCAGGTCGGGAGAGCATCAGAGAGATGAAGTCACTTCTGTTGATATGTGATGATAAATGTCCCCATATTTGTCATGAAACAGTGTCACATCATGTAATTGTGCGTGGCGAGCTTAAACAGTAAAAGTAGCATTGTAGCACGGATTTTAAAAGTTGTTTGTTATGGCGGCAAGTCACTGTGTGGGAAAATCTATGCAGCTTTGTATACAAGCACTGCTGTACATGTTAGTATGTGTTTTTGATTGATGATCCTGCTGACCTCTTATTTAGGATCATTCATGAGAAATGGTTGCCGTTGAGGCAGAGTAGATTGGATTCTGTATTATGTGCATGTATGGATGAATGAAAACTGAAATCATTCATTAGAAAATCTTTCATAACAGATTTATTTGAAGGTGTATTTCCCGTACGAATGTGGGGTTATTTATTTCATGCAGTATAAAACGTGATTTATTACTGTAAACATTTATATTTTGTCTGTCGTTGTTATTTTTATATTGTGTCATGTGTTCTGAAGAGGAGTGTTTTTCCAGGTGATACAGTGTGTATCTGGCTATTGTTAATCACTTGACACCAGCAGAGAACATGGAAATGTCCTGCAGGAAATCATCTCTGAAACATAACACACTGCCAAGTTATCATGCTGGAATTTAAAATGATGTTGTTATTTTCCGTTAGCATTTACGAAGACTGTTAGCATTGGAGCGTTTGCATTGGCAGTAGCAAACAGCATGATGATGAAGTGAGGCACCACTGACCCAACACTTTTTCACAAGGGTCCCGTTTAAAGGCACGCCTTCTACTTACTCGTTTTCCAGTCCAAAGCTGAGTGTGAGTCGGCGCTGAAGCTGCATGCTTTGGCCTCCCTGGCCTCAGGAACACTTGTTCCCTGTCTGCTCTGTGTACTCTGACAGGCTGCTGCTCCTGCTATGAACTTGTTGCAATTAGGTAAGATGACTATGGCACTGTGGGGGGGACGGACTTGAGCCAGACTCACACTGGTCCTTCTCCTTTATGTCTGGGTTCATAGTGAAAAACTGTGCAGCCGTATATTGAGGAAAAGATGATGGGAGAAATTGAGCACAAGAAAATGAATTATTATTTGCTAAAGTGAATGGCTGTGTGCCCTCATATACACACACACATGAGAGACTTTGTTATATGAGTCATATGCATTACAGTATTCTCCAATCCAGTTTTGTGTGCTGAAGTTATAAAGAAATCTCTTTTAGCTCATTTTTGATTATAACAATAACCTTCTTATATCTATTGCAACAACGATTTACCTGAAGGTCCACTTACTATCTTTTTCTGCTAACATCATTATCAGCAGATGGTAATGAGTTTTTTTTCAAAATTGAACATAAATGATCAAGTCTTGATGTGGTTTAAACAGAATGGCGTTTTATCACAACCGAATGTAACTTTATCTCCGGTAGAATTCTGATCAGGCATTAGCTCCGCCTCCTCTTATTGATTTTTGAGGACCCAAAATCTGCGTTTCTCTAACAGGGCTTCAAAAGAGGGGTATGAGGTATGGCTACAATGAGTGATCTTTTTGGTATTTTGAAAAACAAACTTCACAGACATGTTTTGTATAGGTATGGCCCAACAATATATGTTTCAAATATAGCATGATAGGTCCACTTAAAGTAATGGGTTAACTATATTTGTAATTGTACATGTAAGTGTATTCCTCTTAACCCAACCAGAAGCAGTTTCTTAATGAATGAGAGTGGGTAGATGCTAGAGAGTGTTTTTAATTGAGCTGATGTGTGAGAGGTCCATGAGCCACAGCTCTGAGACGGCCCAGGGGTATTTGGGGAGCCTGGGCACATTCTTCCCCTCTCTTTAAACTAGATACTCTTGGCCTGATAGACAGACCCCGCTCTGCCAGACAGACGCTTCAGAGCACTGATAGCACTGCCCCGGGTCGGGGGTTCACCAGCACACATTTCACTTGCATGACTTTTTGTGATGCAGTAGTGAAATAAAAACGTATTGGCTTGACTTTGTTCAAGGGAATGTGAAAGAAACACAAAATGCTGTACCTAAGCAAAAATACGCAAAATAAAAACTGAATGGTTGAATGTCAGTTTTTATCTAAGGAATTCCAAACCCTTCCTCTTCCCAATTTACTTCCCTGGATAGAAAATTGCACTCGTATTTGGAAGTTGCCTGTCTTGAACTTTTTAAAGTTTCACTTGGGCACAGTGGCGGTTCTAGAACATTTTACATGGGGGGGCAAAGGGGAGGCAAGAGGTCATGCCAGGGTGGCATAGGAGGGCGGACAGTACGTGGAATTTTATACTGTATATAACCTATTTATTGTTAATTCATGCCCTAACACAAGTGTTCTTAATGCACAAGAGAAACAAGGTGTTCAGACAAACAATCGGGTGCCTTTTGAGTCCCCCAAGCTTACCTCAACCATTTTAAATGAAAGGAAACTACAAAATGTATTTTAAAGCAATGAATTAATGGAACAGGTTGTTTTGCATTACAATGTAAAATTAAATATATATTTTGTTTTAAAAAAAATTGGTTGTCTTAGACAGACATATTTGCATGTCCTCACTAAGCATTATTACATATTCATTTAATATCAAACAAATCAAAATGGCCAATTATCCCAACATGTTGCTGCTAATATAATCATATGCTTGTCAACTTTAACTGATCAAAAATCAATTCTGAAAAAATACTTGAATTATCTATGAAATTGCAATATTGTCCCTCAGTTTGTTTCAACCCCGTCACGCCATACCATTTACCCTCCTATTAAAATAATGGATCAGTCCATGTGTGATCTGCATTGAGGGAATTACATCACAAAAGTGTCAGTTTCTTCTCTTACCTATATTTCAGTTTTTGTATTTCAGATTAAGATTGATAAGCTCAACATTTCAACTATGTTGTATGAATTAATAATAGTAAATAATTAATAGTTTTGCAAAATATAACAATGTTGTAATGTCCTTGACTTCCATGTGGGCCATATCTTAGCTAAACAAGATCTCATGCTACTTTTTGTCAAAAACTTCAACCCTGTTACATTTTTTCAAGGAAATTCCTAGTAATTATTTATATTTTGTGCCTGAGGTGGGAAAATGTACCCGATTCAGAGAATACTCAGAATTCTGCATACTGTAAGTACTTAATTATAATTAAGTACACAAATGACATCACCCATCTCTTCAGAGAGCTACAGGTGACCTGTGCAGCAACACATTTCAATCAATATGTGTCAATACTAAGAGCTGCTAGATTGAGCTGCTGTGATGGAATATGTAAGGAGAATAAGAACATACCATGTGGTCCAGCTGGAGTTTCATCTGCCTCCTGATCCCTGCCTCTGGCCCTCTCTCTGACACTTCATCTTTATTCCTCACATACATTTCTTCTTCTTCACTAATGTCTTCATCTCCTCCTCTTCCTCCTGCTCTGACCCTCCTGGTCTCTTCATCTCTCTTTTCTTTTTCCTCTTTCTGTTCGTCCTGATCACTTCTCATATGTATTTTTGTTGTTGTTGAATCACTCCTATACTCTGGCCTGCAAGAGTCTACTTGTGAAAAGCACTGGTACAAATGCTTGTATAACTTTACACGTTAGGGCCATGTAGCCTAGCTAATATGTAGCATATCATATAACATCAGAAAGTATTGATCAAGCGCACACAGGCAGCTGTGTTTGGATCCAGTTTTTACGGTAAAGGATGTATCCTGGTTTCATTGATCTGGCCTCATGGCTGTGATGTGTAGTTTACGTGGATTTAATAGTAGGCTACCACGTAGTTTAGCAAAGTGATCGATCTCCCAGCTAACGCTGTCTGCGTAGTATTTTGTAACGTAACGCCCCAAACAGCGCCCGTCTGTTAAACGCTATCGATTCAAACTAAAGCGTTTTATTAATATTTAGTTTCAAGCTCTCGTCCTTAGTCAAAACAAAACTAGTGGAAATGGAAATGCTCCCAGGGGAAGCTGATCCATAGGTGCTGGGACAGCTTGCTCCCTCTCTGCAGCGGTGTGAGCCGCGGGCTGTGTGAACGCCGCTCCGCAGTTTAATGCAGGGCCATAGCTGCGTTTTAAATGCGGCCTAAAATGATATTTAAAATGATTCAATTTTAACTAATGTAATGCTTGTTTTGTTGCTTGAGAAGCTTGTGGAAATAGTGTAGGTTTGTTTTAGTACAGTTTTAGGGAAACAAAAGTTAGGGGGGCAGCTGGGGGGGCAAGGCTCTACAGTGGGGGCACCAAGAGGTCTCAAGTGCTAACAGATGTGGGCAGTCCATCTCTTTTATTGTGGGGAAACCCCCCAAATCCAGGCATGCAGTCTGAGTGGATATTACCATTATTCCTCAGGCTTGCTCTGTGTCTAAATCTACCTCTAAATTACAAAATGTGTTTTCTCGTAGATTTACAAAATCTGTCAAATATGGTAAAATGTTTGGTCCTCTGTCCTCACACAGGCCTGGATGCAGAGCTGTACTATGTGCGAGATGACGTGGTGAATCATTACGCGCTCTCCTTCACCCTGCCTGTGCCCAGTGAGACCAACAGCCTGCACTTCTCCTGGCATTCCAAGACAAAGGTAAGTCTCAGCATCAGGAACTGATGAGGGGAGTGTTGGTGACAAGCATAGGTTTCACTTCACTTTTCTATTTCAGTTAGATTAGATTACTTTATTGTCATTACAAAAATGCAAGCACAGTGTAACGAAATGTAAGGATGGTCAAACCAGAGTGCGAAACAGTCAGTTACACAATTATCAGAAGTATGTACCAAAATAAATGATACAAAATAAAGGTAAATAGATGGGAAATGTATAAATAGGAATAAATACACAGATAATAATAAATACAGTGAATACAGAATTGCGCTTCAGCACAGCACACGACGACAACTAGGCAGTATGGGACAGCGTGGGGTTCATTGTCAGCAGTCTGACTGCTGAAGGGAAGAAGCTGTGCGTTCCAGTTCGAACCTAATGAAGAACATATGTTTCTCTGTTGTCCACGTTCATAAAGCCCGCATACAACAACACCATAAGAGCACGGTGCAAAGTGTCTAGATGCTATACTGTAGTCCGCTGTACAGAAAACTGTACTTTCCCCACAGCAGATGCACATTAATAACATCCGCTGGTGCATCATTAATATGTCTGATAGTGTAAGTGCAGTGGGATTCTCTTGAATTCTCCTATGCACTATTCCTTAACACTGTGACGTTTCACACAGAGGTCAAGGAATAGTGGTTAGGAAAAGACGATAGGAGCTGATTTTTGGACAATTCGACCGCACCCTTAGACATGCTTACTTGGGTAGAGGTGTAACTCAATCACAAACATTGATCGTAATCGTTCAAATGCACCTGACAAATGAACACATTGAAATTGTCACATCACTCTATCAGTCTACGAGCACCTCTTTCCTAGAGAGCTTTTTTTTATTGATTAGCGATTGTGTTGAATCGGAATATGATATCAAGTGATATCAATAATGGCAGACTTTATGATATCAGTTCAGATCAGATATTTTATTGTTTTGCAAAGCATTGATTTCATATGGTATGGTGATAAAACTTGAGATTTACACCCCTATTGTAGGACAACCCATCTGTGTGTTGACAACTGTGGTTCGTCGCTATTTGTTTATAGGTCGACTACCGGCTTGGCTTTCAAATGGACAACGACGTGGCCATGAACGAACCCCGAAGCAACATCTCCATTCAGGGGGAGGTGCCCCGCGTTCCCTCTGGTTCGTCAAATATAATCCTTTCGTTTCATGTATGAAAAATATCAGTGTCAGTTGTGTCAATAGGTCCATGCTCTTACTTGTTTTCTGTCCAACAGATAGGAGTTTTAATTTAAACTCAGATGCTGAAACAGTGTTAAAGGAGAGGCAGACATACACTTATCAGTTTCCTGGCTGAGCATTTGACGAGAGGATTGATGCCACTGTCTAGAAAAAGTCAAAAAGTAGTGAAATATGCTAAATATGCGAAAACAATTAATATTGGGATGTCTTAATTATTTATTCTCTCTCACACACAAACTGCCACTAATGTTAAACCCCTTTACTATACAATTAAAACACATTCAATGTTTATTTATTGTAAAAGCAATTGGGCTATTTTAATCACACTCTCTCTCACACACACACACACACTTCTCCGCCTCATTCTGTTTTCATTTACTCGTTCGTTAGCTGACCAGCTTCAATCTTGTAGGCTTCTCACCCGTTTCTTGTAGCCCTCGAAAAGGGTTTTGGAGGTTGATGCCTCGGTGAACGTGAGTTGTTTGGCTTTCTTGTCCGCAGCAGCAGAAAGCATTTTCGAATGTTTGAATGAATCAAAGTGGGTCGTCACCGTCGATGTTCTCTTATGCTCCAACACACAGTTGCACAGGGTGCAGAATAGTTTCCCCCCACTTTCGTGCAAGACATCGGGGTACTGCTTTGCCCGGTCTTTAGCAGAAATGTTCGTCGGTAAATGAGATGGAATACATTTTTTCATCTTGGTGTTTTCTCTCTCGTGTGAGTTCCACACGTTCACTCTACGCAAGGGCGCCGGAAGCGAGGGGGCCATTGGCCCCCCCGCTTTACGGCCCTGCCCCACATTTTCGCAGCAGCGGATGCCGCGGAACCCTGTACACATCCCGTTTCAATAATTCCCCTCTACTCTAAAGTCGCATCTAAAAAGAACGCCATCTGATCTAGCTGTGTATATTTTGTTATTGTTGATTGTTATATTCTATCTCATTAGCTACAGGCATTTTTGAAGCTTGTAAAGGGAAGAACACAGCTCGCCTCTCACTCGCCACTCTGCTCTTCTACAGCGCCGCTTCCCCTCCCTCCGCTGACATTATGAATGTAAGGCATAGTAATCATAGATAACACCGCAGGGTCCGTTACAGTTTGTTTTCATCTGATTTCAAATAAACAAAGTGTTGGCTTTCAGAATATTAAACTTGTTTCGGCAAATTCAGATGATAAATACAGCTTTGAAGCTTTTAACGGCATAATTACAAGCGGAGAACGGAGTAATTTGACGTCACAGCAAGCATAACAACAGCCGGTGTTTCTCCTGAAAGTTTTCCCCGGGAAACAAACGCAAAAATACACAAACACACACACGTATACACACACACACACTCGCGAGCTCCCCCCAGACCAGTAATCCAAACGAAAATATCTTCCCTCCGTACTTTGATCATTTGCTCCGCTAATGATCAATCAGATCGATCCAGAGAAGAGGAAACTTTAAGGCCTTTTTCTCAAAATGATGACTCGGTGACAGTCATTATATAATGTGACATATTTTGCTTAATATAGTACAAAAACAATCCTGATATCATTAGAAAGCTAGGAATCTCCTCTTTCCAACAGTGTATACAACTCAAAATGTGTCTTCGGGTCAATGCGACTGATTTCGATGGAGCAGGTCACTTTGCATTAGGTAAAATACAGCAGGCAGACATAACAGGAAGAATATGTACATTTTAATCCAATCAAATAGGACATTGTCACACCATTCAAATGTATCCATGTACATTACAACCAATAACAAAGCTTAGATGTGTTTATTTGTTACGTTGGTTACGTTATGTGTTACGTTGTTCAGTGTGTGTCAGCCGTTAACCTAGATAGATAAACTTGCAAACATGTCAGAAGAACCGGCGCATAAGAAAACAAAATACAGTCAAACTAAGCTGAAATTCAACAACTTGAATGTCACATCCCTGACATCCACAACTCCGGAGCCTGGTCCTTCAACCTTAGAACCAGCGCAGCCAGATGAACCCCAGCAGCAGCTCTGCGGCCGCAGAAGCTGTCAAAACCGCCGCCGCCGGCATCGTTGAACCAAAACAGGCTGGTTCCGACTGCATGGAGGTTTGTTGTCGGGACATTGTGACGGGCCAATAAAAGCTTATTTGGGCAAAGAGAGGGTACTTCAATGCAGAATGGTACAAAAACAGAGAGTGGTTAATTATTTGCAAAACCACTAAACGAGCCTTCTGTGAAATATGCAGATGTGCGGCTGTCAAACGGCTTGTAACTTTCTCCAAATGTGGAGATGACAGCTTTGTAAATACCGAGTTAATAACTGGAACTTTTCACAGAGCTTACTTCAGTCAAACACCAGTCAACATTCAGCTTGTCAAACAAGAGCGTAGCAGGAAAAAAGAAGTGATGGAATGAGCAACTGCGCTGTCATATGTGGGCTGGTCTGTATAGTTTAATGTACAGGAAAGGAGTGAGCAGAGGGTTGAGTTGTCCATTCTTGTTCTGTATTCTCTGACTATCTTCCTCCTGAAGACCCTCTCAGACTTTCATTTGCTCGCGCTACTAAAATGACACGTTACCATGGAAACCAAACAATGGTGTAGCTGTATTGAAGTCCGAGTGGAAACGGTAACATTTGGTGCGTCAAATCAGATTTAGTCAGAAATCGGGAGAAATGCGGGATAAATATGACCCCGGGAGGAAAACGGGAGTCTCCCGCGAAAATCGTGAGGGTTGGCAAGTAGGCTATGTCACATGCACGCACTTTTTGGCCCCCCCACTTCTGAAATGAATCCGGCGCCGCTGACTCTACGGTGTTGTTTACTTTCCGTGATGCGCGAGCTGATGACGTTGCGTCATCATCATCATCACTTCACGTCAAGACGAGTTCACTTTTTTCCCCCTCAATTTTGTGTGGAAAATGCGGGGATTATGCAGCCTTTTGATAAATATGCGGCCTTTTGAAAATCTGCGCCATTTTGCTGATTATGCGGTAAATTCTGCGATCGCAGAATCGCGTTTTTCTGGAGGGTCTACTTTGTTATATACCCTTTGTTGGCAATGACAGAGGTCAAACGTTTTCTGTAAGTCTTCACAAGGTATTCACACACTGTTGCTGGTATTTTGGCCCATTCCTCCATGCAGATCTCCTCTAGAGCAGTGATGTTTTGGGGCTGTCGCTGGGCAACACGGACTTTCAACTCCCTCCAAAGATTTTCTATGGGGTTGAGATCTGGAGACTGGCTAGGCCACTCCAGGACCTTGAAATGCTTCTTACGAAGCCACTCCTTCGTTGCCCGGGCGGTGTGTTTGGGATCATTGTCATGCTGAAAGACCCAGCCACGTTCTTCAATGCCCTTGCTGATGGAAGGAGGTTGTCACTCAAAATCTCACGATACATGGCCCCATTCATTCTTTCCTTTACACGGATCAGTCGTCCTGGTCCCTTTGCAGAAAAACAGCCCCAAAGCATGATGTTTCCACCCCCATGTTTCACAGTAGGTATGGTGTTCTTTGGATACAACTCAGCCTTCTTTCTCCTCCAAACACGTCTGGTTGAGTTTTTACCAAAAAGTTCTATTTTGGTTTCATCTGACCATATGACATTCTCCCAATCCTCTTCTGGATCATCTAAATGCTCTCTAGCAAACTTCAGACGGGCCTGGACATGTACTGGCTTAAGCAGGGGAACACGTCTGGCACTGCAGGATTTGAGTCCCTGGCGGCGTAGTGTGTTACTGATGGTAGCCTTTGTTACTTTGGTCCCAGCTCTCTGCAGGTCATTGACTAGGTCCCCCCGTGTGGTTCTGGGATTTTTGCTCACCGTTCTTGTGATCATTTTGACCCCACGGGGTGAGATCTTGCGTGGAGCCCTAGATCGAGGGAGATTATCAGTGGTCTTGTATGTCTTCCATTTTCTAATAATTGCTCCCACAGTTGATTTCTTCACACCAAGCTGCTTACCTATTGCAGATTCAGTCTTCCCAGCCTGGTGCAGGTCTACGATTTTGTTTCTGGTGTCCTTTGACAGCTCTTTGGTCTTGGCCATAGTGGAGTTTGGAGTGTGACTGTTTGAGGTTGTGGACAGGTGTCTTTTATACTGATAACGAGTTCAAACAGGTGCCATTAATACAGTTAACAAGTGGAGGACAGAGGAGGCTCTTAAAGAAGAAGTTACAGGTCTGTGAGAGCCAGAAATCTTGTTTGTTTGTAGGTGACCAAATACTTATTTTACCGAGGAGTTTACCAATTAATTCATTAAAAATCCTACAATGTGATTTCCTGGATTCTTTCCCCCCATTCTGTCTCTCATAGTTGAAGTGTACATAGGATGAAAATGACAGGCCTCTCTCATCTTTTTAAGTGGGAGAACTTGCACAATTGGTGGCTGACTAAATACTTTTTTGCCCCACTGTATCTCACAAATCTCAGACATATAATTGCTGTGTGTGTGTGTGTGTGGTGTGTGTGTGTGTGTGTGTGTGTGTGTGTGTGTGTGGTGTGTGTGTGTGTGTGTGTGTGTGTGTGTGTGTGTGTGTGTGTGTGGTGTGTGTGTGTGTGTGTGTGTGTGTGTGTTGTGTGGGTGTGTGTGTGTGTGTGTGTGTGTGTGTGTGTGTGTGTGTGTGTGTGTGTGTGTGTGGTGTGTGTGTGTGTGTGTGTGTGTGTGTGTGTGTGTGATGTGTGTGTGTGTGGTGTGTGTGTGTGGGTGTGTGGTGTGTGTGTGTGTGTGTGTGTGTGTGGTGTGTGTGTGTGTGTGTGTGTGTGTGTGTGTGTGTGTGTGTGGTGTGTGTGTCGTCTTCAGAGTGGACCTCTTCTGTTCGGGCAGGGTGGATGGAGAGGCTGTGTTAACAGTGCAGCTCAATCTGACCATACGTGCCAACAACTACACAGTGCTCAACTTCAAGAGGAGGAAAATGTGCTATAAAAGTGAGTATATTAATAACCAGCTAATAATCTCAACAAAGGTATGGTTATAGGTAGCACCCAAGAGTGGTTGAGTGTTGGCTGCATTTCAGATCGCATACTTTTCCTTTTTTTCTTAGCGCTAGCAGTGAGTTAGCATTTTAACACTTTCAGGTTCGCTAGTCTCATATTCAATATTTTTTTAAGTTGTTTTTGTTTCAGTGGCTGAAATAGGGTCTGTGGTTAACTCCACAAGGCATTTTTATTTATTGTTCTGACATAAACCACGTCACAGCCTGTCTGAAGCTTTTACGTATTTTAAAAACTAAATGAGACGACTAAACAACATCACACTGAACATTGGCCACCTTAAGCTTAGCGATGGTGACGCGAATACAGGTGAGTGGCATGTAGTTTGCTTTTTAGCATTACATCAGCTATTTACTCCCTATTGCATTTAAGCTCCAGCAATTATAAAAGTGGTGTTCATATGTGGAGATATACCCTGTTGAAATGAAATGTGTAAGTATCATAAGTATGCCACATTAACTACCAAAACTCAAAAAGTATTTAAAGTAGAGCTAGATTTAGCAGAATCCAAGATTTAAAAATAAGGCTGTCATTCAACTGAAGGTAGAGTGGATATCATTGTCTTTGCTTTTTCTTCTTCTGTGAACAGGAATAGATTCTGACCCAAAGTTTCCTCTCAGCAATAAAACTCATCCACAGCCTGAATGTAAGTACCTCTTCCTCCGCTCCATGTAGTGTCTATCACTGATAAACGGTGGCTGTGTTAGTACTGAGACGTCTCTCTGTACAGTCAAACTCACCATAACCAAGGTATATGTTTTCAGGCCCCTAAGAGAAAGATTCCTTCTCCTATTGAAGTGCACTCTGTCCCCCCACCCCCTCTTGAGTGGCTGTCCTCTTCCAGTGAGTTTTATTCGGGCCCTTTGTGCGCCCACTGGCCCAGGAACAGAGTGCCATTAGTGGGTTGTCTCCCTTCTGCTTGGGTAGGCCTGTGGAACCTGGGGCCCTGCGGGGCTTTTAGAGAGGTGATGAGAAAGGCTCTCAGACACTGGACCCGGAACGCAGCCTCACTCCCACAGGCCTCCATCAGCCATGAGAGGAGCCCTGGGTGCACTTCCAGTCCCCCCCCTCTCATGTCTTTTTGTTATTGACCAACCTCATTTCTGTGCCCTGCTTCTTTCATATAATGGGAGAAGCTTTCTTTAATGACTATGGTATTTTGTGTCCAACAACGCTCTATTTTCCCATTTTCTAACTTTCTGCGTTTGATTTAGAGCTGCAACTGTCATTCCAATGAAAACATATTATTTTGATAATGGATGTACTGTTAAAGTAATTTTATTATGCAATACTGTCAGAAATTGATGTTTTCAGCCTCATGTACACATGTACATAAATGTTAATATTAGGGATGTAACGATATATCGAATATCGTGATATCGCGGTAAATAAATGTCTCAATACCGTCGTGAGACTAACAAAATCTACCGCGATTTAAAAGTAGGTTACAACATGAACATAAAACAACAGATAACACAAAAGGACATCGTATTTACAGGGCTACATGTACATATATACCTAGAGACATTGACAAGTACCAACAGTATATGTATATCTCGCCCTGTCAATAAGCTTCACCTTCTTGGCAAAAACTGTATTGTTTTTGAAGTGGTGGAGAGACAATGCACAGTTTGACCCACTGCTGTCACCCATGGCCAAAGCATATATCTCTCTCCCAGCAACATCAGTACCAAGCAAGAGAGTTTTTTCCACAGCAGAGGATATTAAACGCCCAAACATCCCAGCTTCTACCTTGAAATGTGGACATGCTCATATTCCTAAAAGATAACCTTGATGATGCTGAGTGAGTGAGTGAGTGAGTGAGTGAGTTAGAGTTGAGTTACTAAAGTGAAACTTGATTTATTCTATTGCAGAGTCTGATTATTATATTGTTGACACTTTAAAAACTACTATCCTACTAAAATGCTGTACAAATCAGATTTTTTATTTGTTTTTTAAATTCACATTTTTTTCTTTATTTTTCAATATCGCGATAAATATCGTACCGTGGACTTTTTATCGCGATATTATAGTACCGTGAGTTTTTGGTATCGTTACATCCCTAGTTAATATATTTGGGTTCTGTACTGACAAAACAAGTCATTTGAACATGTCAACTTAGGCTATTATAGCGCATTTCCACTACAGCGCGGAGCTCGCTATAAGCGTGCCCGGCCCGTTTTTGGTTGTGTTTCCACTTGGCGTAGTACCGGCTAGCGGGTACTATTTCACAGTTTTCTGGCTCCATAAAAACATACTTCTACTTGTATAAAACTGACCTTTGTACGATGAATACTTCATAAAATACTGCAGATCCTTTATCTTACCTCTTTCTAATCTACACACATACAAGTATTTAACTGAAGTTACACAACAGTGTTGTTGATACAGAGTTGGAGTTTATTCACACGTCACTACAGTGGGTAATGTTTTCAAGAAACATTGAACAGTGCTGCCACATATGACACAGGGAAAAAAGAAAAGACTCTGAACCCTTTCTTTGCCATTATATAAAAATATTGTTGCTACAAAAGTATACATTAGGCTTACTAATAAGACAACTCAGATCTGAAGCTACACAGGAATCTGCTGCCAACGTGCAATAAAAAAAACAACATTAATAGAATCAAACCCTTTTTTTGTTGCATTTTAGTAGAGTATAAAAATGCCTTTTAAAATAGGATGCAAGCAACACTAGTTTCTTAACTGAATTGATAATAGACTATAATCAATTTAAGTTTGCATTCTTATACCATTTTGTACAATAATTATAATGAATAAGTTCAAACAAACTAAAACTTACAGCTGATTAATAACGATATCTAACTTGAGTTTTTATTATATCAAAAACCTTTTGAAATTCTACTGTTATTTTTACTGTCCCCCAAAAGCGCGTCGGCAGCCTCCAGGAATGTTTCTTTCACAACTTCGCCGTCTCTGAAAGACTTCATGTGTTTCGCAAGAACGTGACTGACACGATAAGATGCTATGGTAGCAGCCTTGCTCTTGTTGTTGGGCCTGGTGAAAATGGACTGCTGTGCATTTAGCTGTCCTTTCAGGCCCCTCCCCTTTTGGAGCGTAGGGTAGAATTAGGAGGGAATTCCGTCTCGTAGCGTTTGTGCACTGTTTTGAAATGCCGCTCCTAAATGACCCTTCTTCGATAAAGCCACGCTCGCATTGCAGATGAGAGACAGATGGACTTTGAATTGGAATAGATACAGAAATAATCATCCTCCCACTCGGAGTGAAAATGATATATTTTGGTCTTTTTTGCTTCTGCCATAATTGCGGTCTTGTGTGTGTGCGGACTGTCACTCCTGTTGACACGGACAACGTCAGCAAAATAGTGCCCACTCCCGACCAGCCACGCCCCGACACATGGTGTCTAGCCGGCCAATCACAAAGCTTTGATGCGTTCAAGTGCATTATTCTGGCACAGGAAGATTATGTAATAGGACATTAACGATAAAACAGAATATTGTTGTTCTATTTTTAGACACATCTCGCGATCGACTGGGAATCTCCCGGTCGATCGCGATCGACTGGTTGGGCACCCCTGTCTTAATATGATTGCTCCTATTTCAAGCCATCTTTTTCCCGGCCCCTTGCTTTGGATCATTTTCATCAACCGGCCCCCATTCCAAACTAATTGAATAGCCCTGGCTTACACAGACATACATAAACCAGTGACTGTATTCGCCATGACACAGGCAGTCTGTGGTTTGTACTCGTTTAACTTTTGTCTAGTTTCTGAACGGATATGAAGAGCTGTGAGCTCTGAGTGCTAACAGCTAACGGCTGATGTTGTTTTTCTGTGGTTCTCATTGAGATTACGTCACGGCTCCGCCTACACTGCGTTACTATAGTTACTGCCCCAGCTACTAAACTGTAATGGAAACGCAGCATAAAGTGAGCCGGGCCTAATAAGGCCTAGTCATACCGAGCGAGGCCCTGTAGTGGAAATGCGCCATTAGAGCTGGAATATACATTTTCCACAATTTTCTGTCATTTATAGATAAAAGGTTTGAATGATAATTAAATTAATTGTTTGTTGCATCACTATTCTGATTTATAATGTGTGGCTTGTTGTAATCAGTAGATGGTGTGACCGCCCCCACCACCTCCACCCAGGTGTTCTACATCAGTGTGAGCGTCTGCTGCATTGTGATCTTCCTAGTGGCCATCATCCTGGCCATCCTGCACCTACACAGCATGAAGAGGGTGGAGATGGAGGACAGGTCTGTTTATTTTGTTTGTACACGTATTAAACTGCAGCTGATAAGAAGCAGCAGATTTACAGCCTCCTATCTGTCACCCGAACTTATTTTCTGCAGAATTCTGCTGTTCAAAGACAAACAAAAATAGATAATCTCCTCAAAAAGAATGATATCACGTTAAAGCCGCACTAAAGTTTCCACGCTGTTCGGTTCCTGTAATCACCTGCAGGCAGCTCTGCAGGCAGCTCTGCAGGTGATCAGCTGTGAATTAGATCAGCACATCCTCCCCCTGTTGTCCCCTTATTCATTCTTAGAGGTTAGCCATCGGGACAGTGGGACTGTTTTCTTCTTTTCCATGGAAATCTCTCTAAAGTTAGTTGCTGTAATGTTGTTTTGCCAAAGTGGTCTGATTTGATCACATTGCATGATGGGATCCTTGTGGTATACAATAATATTCTCTTGTTGTGAACTCTACAGCCTTCTTTTCTGAAATGACTCAGGATTCGCAAGCTTATATTCATGTTTTGTTGTGATGTTCACTTTGAAATCACTGGATTTGAAACTAGCTTGTTTCTCAGAACATGGGAAGGATTTTCATTTAGTAATGCGTTTACCAGTTACTGTTGAAACACAATCCTGGTGCCTCTGGATAACTTCTCCTCTTCTTCTGTGTGTTCAGTGTGAGTGACAGTGGGAGCTCGCAGGGCCTGTCTCAGCCGTCCACACAGACCACACAGTACCTGAGGGCGGACACCCCCAACAACGCAGCCCCCGTCACCAGTAAGGCATTTTACTCTTTCTTCTAAAGGCAAATTGTAACAAGATGCAGCATCACTCCAAACATGTTTGTGGTAATCAAACTAACATTCAGTCTGCCATAGTTGTTTTCTTCTCTTCTTACTCTGGCATCCTTGTGTGCATGTTTTTCCAAATGCAATAATCTACTGTGATGACCTAAATAGATTAACTAGCATCATAAGACTGTAATGAAGAGCAGAGTTCCTGCAGTGATGTTCTCTGTCCTTTAGTTGCTAACACCCTTGTGACCTATTACTGTGTGAGTGATGTTCTCAGAGCTAAGTGTCAGGCCAACTGTGGAGCCGTAAGGGAAGCCAAGTAGTCTTCTATTGGAGTTGATGTAAAATTAAAACAGAGTGGGAAGCACAGACGTACAGTAGCAAAGTTAAAGTAAGAGCTAAGTCTAAACATTAATGGTCTCCTACCTCAGAACCAGTGGCGTTTTCTCCAGGAGAAAACTGGAGTTTTTTCGGACTGTAGTTATCATTTTAGTAAATTAAAAAAACACTTCATTTAGTTTCGGTAATTCTTCTGTGCTGTGTGTTGATGCCGTCTCTCCCCCATTCTCATTGAGTATTTTACAAAGAGTGAAAAAGCGCCTCTCTAGATGTTATGGTGAAACAGTAGATTGCACTCATGTCATGGTCGAGAGGAGGCCAGCCGAAATTGTCATCCCTTGGTTAAAAGAAAATTGACGGATTGACCAATCAGATGAGGCTACCGTCATGCCCCTGCCAACCTGTGATTAGTCAGGGCCATGCCAAGGGAAGCCACTCGCCCTCTGGCTTCACTCCAATCAAATAGCATCAACTTCGTACTGTCATTACCGCCCAGAGCAAGTAGCAACATTAGCAACAGAGACGAGGAGTGCTGCTGCACTTGCCGTGTGTGTTAAAGAGGGAAGGGAAGAGAAGGTGGACTATCGCATGCAATGTTTCTGCACATAACTGTTTTACTTTGATGTGAACGTAAAACTTTAAAGGTCTCCTGATTTAGTTTGTGAACGAATGCTTATTTTTTATTCATTACCGAATCTGCACTGTGCATTAAGCGGCTGGTTATGCATTTAGGTGGGCTGCATAAATGAATAAGAAAATGCATAAATGAATAAGACGAGAGAGGTTCGGCTGGAGAGTGCGTGTGCAATCCTGCATCTGTCTGATACAAATTTGTGTCAAATGATACCGGGCGCTGTAATAACTCATCTGGTTACGTTATTACCTTGACCCCCCCCCCCCCAAAAAAAGGACATCGATTATTTGCTTCCTCATATATATTTTTTTCCCACGCCACGCTACTGCTCAGAACCGTAGTAGAACATTTCTCCTTTTGCCAGACAGAAAGTGAATCTCACTGTAGCACTGGTCCTCCAGCACAGTTCTTATTAAGTGGTTGGTGGGGGTGTTAGGTGGATTGGCTGGCACCCATTATGATTATTAGTAACTCTGTAATGTATAACTTGAATTAATATGGCTGCACACAAAAGTTCAAAGCTTTATTCAGAACGGTGTCATTCAAACTCTGAATGAACAGTTGGATGCTGTACAGCTTTTGGATTCTGTTTGAAGCTAGTATTTTTTTGCACAGTTGCACTAACAATATTATACTACTTGTAGAGTTAGATTCCAGTGGTGTCTGTGTAGGAATGTTTCTGAGATTCAGACGTTCCCAAAGCTGCAGAGCACCCAGAAGTCCAAAAGTATTGATACAAAGTAGATTTTTATCTTACTCTTCTTTTTAATTCCATATTTTTTTGCGTTTAGCCTTTCAAAAACATTTTCACTGTGGTTTGCTCTCCCACTTGCACACAAATGGACGCATACATAACAAGTTATATTTAATAAAGGAAGTTGAATTCATGAAAAAAAGACATATTTATTGAATCCATAACTTCCTTCAAATTGACACAGCGTTCATATGTCCAAGGGGATATTGTCCAGCACATAAAAAGACATCTCATTGTTTGTGTCTTGTTTGTCTATTTTGTCAAATAAATCAGCTATTTGTCTTTGTGTGCGGGACTATTTCTTGGGAGCATAAAGGCAACTGCTACCAGACTGAATGTTTTTATTAGCGATCCTTCAAACACCCTAAAAATGAATTTAGAACTACTAATCTTAATACTGGTAAGGTATAATAATAATAATAATAATAATACATTTTATTTGGAGGTGCCTTTCATAACACCAAAGGTCACCTTACATTTCACAAGATATTCAAAACAAAAAGTAAAAAACTGTAGAACCAGACAAAAAACATAAGCAAGGTGAACATAAAAGAGGCAGAGTAGGCAGACCCAAGTGAGGGGGGCCAGGACAATAAGTCTGAGTGAACATGGAGCACTACAGTGAGGAGGCTGATCTGAACAGGTGAGTTTTGGCACGTTTAGTGTCAGCTTACTCTGCTGCAGCCACATAGATCCATCTTCCTCAGATTGTCACAGGACTTTGCCCAGACCCTTTGGCAAGTTGTCGGTGTTATTCATGATATTGTATACCATTCAGTAGGCCATCCTTCACTGCCCTCTTGTGGATACACACCCACAGCTCACCTCCTGTGCATGTAGTTAAACCACCCCCCTGTGTGTGTGTGTGTGTGTGTGTGTGTGTGTGTGTGTGTGTGTGTGTGTGTGTGTGTGTGTGTGTGTGTGTGTGTGTGTGTGTGTGTTGTGTGTGTGTGTGTGTGGTGTGTTGTGTGTGTGTGGTGTGTGTTGTGTGTGTGTGTGTGTGTGTGTGTGTGTGTGTGTGTGTGTGTGTGTGTGTGTGTGTGTGTGTGTGTGTGTGTGTGTGTGTGTGTGTGTGTGTGTGTGTGTGCTACAGTAAACATCCATACATTCACTCGGGTCATGTTGTGATTTGAGCGAGCTATCCATTAAATCACCTCTTTCTCACTCTCTCTCCCCCCCCCATCCTGCCATCAGACAATCACCCTGGTTCTGCACCCATTCTCCAGCTTGCTGCCTCCTCCTTCCAAAACCCTGGTGCCCCCCCTCATGAAACCAAAAGTAAGTTCCGGTGAAGCTGCAGAGACGACTTAAGACTCTAACCATGATGTCGTCATGTGCACATAAAAACATTATGAACACTTTAACCATGTTTTGTCCATAGTTTTCTGAACTTCACACTGTTTGATTGAATACAGTACATCTGACCCCACTCATCTCACCTGCTTCCTACTAACATTCATAGTGCCCCATCAACTAGTGCTGGTATAATATTCTACTAATCAATAAATCAGTCCACAGAATTATTGTGTGGAACAGTTCATTATTTCAGTCATTTCTTAAGGTAAAACATGCTGTGTTCTTTCTGGTTTCAGCCTTAAGTCTATATACAAGTAAATGGAATATGATATATTAGATAAATAATTGGCAAGATACAAACAGATGAATGTTATGGATGTTATTTACAGAGTTCAGGTGTTTAATAGTCTTATTGCCTGTGGGATGAAAATGTCCCTGAACCTGGTGGTTTTAGTCCTGATGCTGCGGTACCGCCTGCCAGACGGCAGCAGACAGAACAGTTTGTGGCTGGGGTGATGGGGGTCTGGGAGTAGAGTGCACCTGTAGAAGGTCAGGATGCTCTCTATGGAGCACCTGTAGAAGGTCAGGATGCTCTCTATGGTGCACCTGTAGAAGGTCAGGATCCTCTCTATGGTGCACCTGTAGAAGGTCAGGATCCTCTCTATGGTGCACCTGTAGAAGGTCAGGATGCTCTCTATGGTGCACCTGTAGAAGGTCAGGATCCTCTCTATGGTGCACCTGTAGAAGGTCAGGATCCTCTCTATGGAGCACCTGTAGAAGGTCAGGATCCTCTCTATGGAGCACCTGTAGAAGGTCAGGATCCTCTCTATGGAGCACCTGTAGAAGGTCAGGGTCCTCTCTATGGAGCACCTGTAGAAGGTCAGGATCCTCTCTATGGTGCACCTGTAGAAGGTCAGGATCCTCTCTATGGAGCACCTGTAGAAGGTCAGGATGCTCTCTATGATGGCACCTGTAGAAGGTCAGGATCCTCTCTATGGTGCACCTGTAGAAGGTCAGGATGCTCTCTATGATGCACCTGTAGAAGGTCAGGATCCTCTCTATGGAGCACCTGTAGAAGGTCAGGATCCTCTCTATGGTGCACCTGTAGAAGGTCAGGATGCTCTCTATGGTGCACCTGTAGAAGGTCAGGATCCTCTCTATGGTGCACCTGTAGAAGGTCAGGATCCTCTCTATGGTGCACCTGTAGAAGGTCAGGATCCTCTCTATGGTGCACCTGTAGAAGGTCAGGATGCTCTCTATGGTGCACCTGTAGGAGGTCAGGATGCTCTCTATGATGCACCTGTAGAAGGTCAGGATCCTCTCTATGGTGCACCTGTAGAAGGTCAGGATGCTCTCTATGGTGCACCTGTAGAAGGTCAGGATCCTCTCTATGGTGCACCTGTAGAAGGTCAGGATCCTCTCTATGGAGCACCTGTAGAAGGTCAGGGTCCTCTCTATGGAGCACCTGTAGAAGGTCAGGATGCTCTCTATGGTGCACCTGTAGAAGGTCAGGATGCTCTCTATGGTGCACCTGTAGAAGGTCAGGATCCTCTCTATGGTGCACCTGTAGAAGGTCAGGATCCTCTCTATGGTGCACCTGTAGAAGGTCAGGATCCTCTCTATGGAGCACCTGTAGAAGGTCAGGATCCTCTCTATGGTGCACCTGTAGAAGGTCAGGATCCTCTCTATGGTGCACCTGTAGAAGGTCAGGATGCTCTCTATGGAGGCACCTGTAGAAGGTCGGATCCTCTCTATGATGCACCTGTAGAAGGTCAGGATGCTCTCTATGGAGCACCTGTAGAAGGTCAGGATCCTCTCTATGATGCACCTGTAGAAGGTCAGGATCCTCTCTATGGTGCACCTGTAGAAGGTCAGGATGCTCTCTATGGAGCACCTGTAGAAGGTCAGGGTCCTCTCTATGGAGCACCTGTAGAAGGTCAGGATGCTCTCTATGATGCACCTGTAGAAGGTCAGGATGCTCTCTATGGAGCACCTGTAGAAGGTCAGGATCCTCTCTATGGTGCACCTGTAGAAGGTCAGGATCCTCTCTATGGTGCACCTGTAGAAGGTCAGGATGCTCTCTATGGTGCACCTGTAGGTCCTCAGTGATGAGTCCACATCAGGTCCTCAGTGATGAGTCCACGTCAGGTCCTCAGTGATGAGTCCACGTCAGGTCCTCAGTGATGAGTCCATGTCAGGTCCTCAGTGATGAGTCCATGTCAGGGTCCTCAGTGATGAGTCCATGTCAGGTCCTCAGTGATGAGTCCACGTCAGGTCCTCAGTGATGAGTCCATGTCAGGTCCTCAGTGATGAGTCCACGTCAGGTCCTCAGTGATGAGTCCATGTCATGTCCTCAGTGATGAGTCCATGTCAGGTCCTCAGTGATGAGTCCATGTCAGGTCCTCAGTGATGAGTCCATGTCAGGTCCTCAGTGATGTGGACACAGAGGAACCTGAAGCTGCCGACTCTCCACCGTAGTCCCATTGATGGTGATGGTGGCGTGTCCCTCTCTCTGCTGCTTCCTGTAATCCACAATCAGCTCCTTGGTTTTGCTGACGTTGAGATGGAGGTTGTTCTCCTGGCACCAAGATGTCAGGTTTTCGACCTCCTCTCTGTACGCCGTGTCGTCGCCGTCGGTGATCAGGCCGATGACGGTCGTGTCGTCAGCAAACTTCACGATGGTGTTGGAGCTGTGTGTGGCCACGCAGTCGTGTGTGAACAGGGAGTAGAGGAGAGGGCTGAGCATGCAGCCTTGAGGAGCTCCGGTGTTGAGGATCAGGGTGGAGGGTGTGATGTTTCCCACCTGCACGCCTGGGGTCTGCCTGTCAGGAAGTTCAGGATCCAGTCACAGAATAGATTAGTAGTTAATTTGTCAGGTGGTAATAAATGTACTGTGTAGTTTTAATGTTTCTTGTAGCTTTTAAACATCAATGCGCAACTTTGCTAGCCTTACCAGAATGCTAGTATTACCATGTATACAGGGAAGATACTGTATATAAACCATTTTCTATGTGCTCATGTAAACCCTGTATCCACAATGTGATCATAGCTGGGATAGGCAGCCAAAAAGGCTAACACGCTAACTGTGGGATTCATAAGGATGGTGTCTGTTAGTATAAAATGGTTTTCAGTTTATATATATTTTTTGTTTTAGCTTAACTGCATAAAGGACATACTATAAAGTGCAGTTATGTAGTACGGATTAGGCAGTGTTCAGATTTTGTTTAATTTGTTTTGGTTCCGTGTATATAACCAGCCTCCATCACACTGTATAGTCCCCCATATATGCAGGTATTAGTTTTCATAGTGTTTGTAATTGTACTTATTGCTCTATGCAGTATCTTACAGGTTTGTAATTACTGTATTTATCATTTATTGTAAACAAAAAATAGTTCACATCTAAACAGCAGGGGGCAGCATTGACCTGTGGTGTGTTACTATACAGTTTGCCCCATACAGCAGGTTTCAAGTTTTAATCAAAGTATAATGTATGTATGGATTTAGATGCTTCTTTATCAAGCATAAAACGTGTTGTTAGTCGCTCGAGAGTTTTCCATCTTGTCTTCTTTGTATGTACAGTCTGTCCAGTAGCTGTTCAGCCTAGCTGAGTCTGCTCTAACCACGGACTTGTTTGATACTCATTCACTTTTTTTCCGTATGTGTGCAGATAAACGTTGTGTTTGTGTGTTTCTTAAAGCCTACCTCACTTTACCTCAGTAAGTCAGCAGCTACTGACGGAGTACACAGGGAGGTTATGTAATGGAGGTGCTGTAATAAAGGACTTTGCATGAAGTTGCTTTGATGCAACATGTGCGGGGTACATGTCCTGCTGACTGTTTCTTGTAATTAGTTGAGTTCAAAGAATTTAAACTGGGGAATCTGGTTGTTTTAGAAGAAATGTTTCTTGTAGTATGAAATGTGTCAACAGGTATGTGAAGCAGACGTTCCCCAGGTTGTGTTCCAGTGTTAATCCAGGTTAAACAACCTGTCAATCCATTTTCAATTGCTTTGTTTACATTTGGGTCATGTCTGTGTTTTTCCCTCTGCACAGGTTACCCATCGCTCCGCATTGAGAAGAATGACCTGAGGAGTGTTACTCTGATGGAGGCCAAAGCTAAAGTGAAAGACATCGCCATCTCAAGGGAGAGAGTCACATTACAAGACGTGTTGCATGAAGGTATTTGTCTCTCTTGGTCCCATTTCCTCTGTCTTTCTTTCCACTAAAAAGCTCCCACTTATGTATTCTTCAGAACCAACAGTTTCTCTAGAAATCACTGAAAAGGGGAACACAAATTGTCTTTGAAGAGATGCTTCTCACATATTGTGTTGTGGGCGGAGTTGTGGTTTGGAGGCAACATTTGTGGAGAGGTTTTTGATGGGAGTGGCTGTAACAATAACATAGGTTATCACCAAACACATTATAGTTATAACATGATATAGTTACTCATGTTTCTCCCCTAATAGAGAGATCAGAGACATATTTATCTTATGATGCATTAAAAAAAACGTTTGAGTAAAATAGAAACAAAAGACATATGCCATTGGATTGTGCAGTGGTTTTTCCCATTGCAAAAAATGCAATAATTATTATAAAACAATTCCTCAAAAACACAAAGAACAAAACAGATGCGGAGTAATGAGGCCAGCATTAGAACAGTGTTGGCTGAAATCAATTATATTAATGCTGAATGAGAAGGAATTTGAAGCATCATTTTTTAACTTGCCATGCCTCTTCTTTCCTGGAATAATTTAATGTATAATAAACAGGGAAATGTATTTATAGAATGTGTGTATATATGAATATAACCTACACCACATGTCATTTTGTATGTTAGTATTAGTGTAAGAAAGAACACTTTCAATATAAAGTATGGCAGGGGAGAACATTTGTATTTATATATATATATCTTGTGATTATATATGTTTAATATTAAAAGAATGTCAACTTTTCTAAACAATAGCACAGAGTCTCCCTTAAAACCAGTTAAACCCCACGGCGGGCGGGGGCAAAACGCAACGTCTGCAAGAAACAGCGTCTGAAGGCTTCTTAACATTTAACAAACTATGAATGTGTCATATCCACTTAACGGGAAGAAACTCAGCTTCCAGACAATATTAACAATTTTTAGCAAAACAAAACATAAGGGTAATAACAAAGGCTTTGAATTAACCCTGAACGAAAAAATGCTAACACACTTAGCACAGAACTCACGTTAAAATACCCTTATTACTTATCGTATCTGCACAAACAAGATATTGATTAGCAAGCTGAGATTCCACAGAGTCTAAGTATATAAGATGGGGCAAAAAAAGTATTTAGTCAGCCACCAATTGTGCAAGTTCTCCCACTTAAAAAGATGGGAGGCCTGTAATTTTCATCCTAGGTACACTTCAACTATGAGAGACAGAATGGGGGGAAAGAATCCAGGAAATCACATTGTAGGATTTTTAATGAATTAATTGGTAAATTCCTCGGTAAAATAGTATTTGGTCACCTACAAACAAACAAGATTTCTGGCTCTCACAGACCTGTAACTTCTTCTTTAAGAGCCTCCTCTGTCCTCCACTTGTTAACTGTATTAATGGCACCTGTTTGAACTCGTTATCAGTATGAAAGACACCTGTCCACAACCTCAAACAGTCACACTCCAAACTCCACTATGGCCAAGATCAAAGAGCTGTCAAAGGACACCAGAAACAAAATCGTAGACCCGCACCAGGCTGGGAAGACTGAATCTGCAATAGGTAAGCAGCTTGGTGTGAAGAAATCAACTGTGGGAGCAATTATTAGAAAATGGAAGACATACAAGACCACTGATAATCTCCCTCGATCTGGGGCTCCACGCAAGATCTCACCCCGTGGGGGTCAAAATGATCACAAGAACGGTGAGCAAAAATCCCAGAACCACACGGGGGGACCTAGTCAATGACCTGCAGAGAGCTGGGACCAAAGTAACAAAGGCTACCATCAGTAACACACTACGCTGCCAGGGACTCAAATCCTGCAGTGCCAGACGTGTCCCCCTGCTTAAGCCAGTACATGTCCAGGCCCGTCTGAAGTTTGCTAGAGAGCATTTAGATGATCCAGAAGAGGATTGGGAGAATGTCATATGGTCAGATGAAACCAGAATAGAACTTTTTGGTAAAAACTCAACCAGACGTGTTTGGAGGAGAAAGAATGCTGAGTTGCATCCAAAGAACACCATACCTACTGTGAAACATGGGGGTGGAAACATCATGCTTTGGGGCTGTTTTTCTGCAAAGGGACCAGGACGACTGATCCGTGTAAAGGAAAGAATGAATGGGGCCATGTATCGTTAGATTTTGAGTGACAACCTCCTTCCATCAGCAAGGGCATTGAAGATGAAACGTGGCTGGGTCTTTCACCATGACAATGATCCCAAACACACCGCCCGGGCAACGAAGGAGTGGCTTCGTAAGAACCATTTCAAGGTCCTGGAGTGGCCTAGCCAGTCTCCAGATCTCAACCCCATAGAGATCTTTGGAGGGAGTTGAAAGTCTGTGTTGCCCAGCGACAGCCCCAAAACATCACTGCTCTAGAGGAGATCTGCATGGAGGAATGGGCCAAAATACCAGCAACAGTGTGTGAAAACCGTGTGAAGACTTACAGAAAACGTTTGACCTCTGTCATTGCCAACAAAGGGTATATAACAAAGTATTGAGATGAACTTTTGTTATTGACTAAATACTTATTTTCCACCATAATTTGCAAATAAATTCTTTAAAAATCAGACAATGTGATTTTCTGGATTTTTTTCTTCTCATTCTGTCTCTCATAGTTGAGGTGTACCTAGGATGAAAATTACAGGCCTCTCTCATCTTTTTAAGTGGGAGAACTTGCACAATTGCTGGCTGACTAAATACTTTTTTGCCCCACTGTAAGTATCATCACTGAGTGATCAGAACTCGCGGCGAAACGACTACAAACAACAACAAATATTAGCTTTAAGGAGCCAAAACGGCTAAAAATGTCTTAACTTTATGGTTTTCTGATCAAAAGTTGTGTTCAATGGCATTAAAAAGATCAAAACGCTGCTGAAGGTTAATCCATAGGTTAATCCGATGTGTCTGTGTCACTTTGAAATGATTACTGATAATCCATCATTCCATTTTGATGTCAATAACGGAGATTTCATATTAGCTTCTACGATAGCTTCCAGAGTGTATGACAGCTTCCGGTTCCGGGGCATTCTGGCTACGCATCACTCATTCACCAATGGGAAATGTTTAGATGGATTTTAGGAACTTCTCCTCGATTCTATTGGCTCTAACGGTTAAAAAGAGATGTCAATCATCAACATCGACCGAGGGGGGCCAGAGATATGGAAAATCCACCCAAATGACCCCAGAAGTGGGTTTTTTCTTCCAATTCTCTCTAAAAAGGTCAGATTTAACTTGTTTTGCATCAATCTTGATACAGGGTACTTATTATATGTTATAGTGTGTATTCCTAAAGCTTTTAGTCTATTATCCCTTCATTCAAGTAATTTACTTTCAAATGAAAACATTCTATATTGATTCTGACTTTTCTACATCCAACTCACAGGTTTCTCATTGCTTTGAGAAAAAAGATTATTAATGTAACCCTTTTAGAAGGGAAGTTATAGTCAATTGTTCTGGGAATGTCCTTTTCGAGCCTGAGACCTGAAAAACAGGCTCAGGGCTCAACAGGCTTCCAGAGCAAAACTCAATGTTTATTCACAATAATGAATGCTTCCAAACCAAAGAGAGGATTAGCCATGGGCTTGCAACTAGCTTATTATCATATACACAAAGTATATAGGGTAGCTATTCTCATCAAATCAAAAAGTGAACTGATGTGCTGGCTTTAACACTCATTATCATACTACGTTATGAAGGAAAAAGTGTTTAAATAGGAGGGGAGGGGAGAGCTATTAAACTCTTACATGGTGATATATTCTCAAATAATGTTTTAGGTCGGGTTGTAATCTTGCTCAGTGCAATATTTTCCCTTCAGCTTGGTTAATACCTGAATCTTAACTTTCACAAGAGCCTTCCAGTCTTTAAGATTGTATAATGTGCACAGCTTCCACTCGCAGCAGAGCTGAGAGCTGTAAACATCCAGGCTGCCAGAGGCAGTTTGGAAACGGGTGCTAGAGTATTACAAAATGTATAATAGTGTTTGTTCGATAAGGATCTCTTGTGTGGGATCTTTGTGCTACCCTTTTGTACAGAAACATTTTATTTCCAGTAGCCTAATGAATTAGAACTTACAAGAAGGTATATTTATGTTCCTATTCATGAATATTGCCCGTTAACCTGTGTGCTTAGGACAAAGGAGACGTGGCTGATGGCATGAAGGCTGCATTTAGTTCATGCCTCATCAGATCAGTATCAGTGGAACCTTGCTATGAACCTGAAGTAGCAGAAGTTTGTTCTTGCTGAGACTTATTACATATTGACAGAAAGCCTTAGACGGTGAGGTTTATAAATCTCTCCCTGGCTGTGTCCCAAAGATCAACATCACTGTTTGGGCTTCAGTTTTGGCTCGATCAATCCTCATGGAGCTGGACAAGACTGTACTCACTTTCTGGAGATTTGCCTCCACTGGGGTTTAATGTTGCTGTGTGTGAATGATGTAATAGATACCCAAGGGTGACTCCAATGTAATGGGAGCGAAAAGTGTGGATGTCTTGGTTTTAAATGGCACTTAAAGGCCCTCTTTCATTCTAAAAATAATGACATCATGGGCAGTACTAGTCTTTGTTCGAAAAAACCTGTGCTTGTTGGCTGTTCAAAAACAGAGGTTTCCCTTTCCTGTAGTGTGCATGTAAATGGTCTGCAAAGGATCAAATCCCTGTGTTCCCTCCAGAAGGAGTTTCCGGTTCTGGTTTCAGACGGAAGGTGAAAAGAGGTGCTTGGAAACATGTACCAGTAGAGCCAGTAAATACTAATGTAAACCTGAACATGAGAATAATAGGGCCCTAACTACTGGATGGACCTTCATGTTCCCCTCAGGCTAAAGTGTCTTAAGACTTAATTGTATTACCAAATACCTGGTAAACAGCCTGAGCTGTCCTTCTCACTCAGTTACACTCTGCTTGCTTAAGAGTTTGAGTCATCCATCAACACAATTAGTCATTTGATTTGATCTCACTGTGGTTCTACGTCTGGTTGATCAACAGCTCTTTAGGTTAGGTTCTATGTGAGTTTATTAGTCCTTCTATTTGCTCTCTTAACCTTTGTATGGGTGAGGTTATCAAATGTGTTTTTAAATGGACAGCTGTTCAATGTGTACTTTACCCTGTAGGGCGCATGGTGATACTGCCTTGTGCAACAGCTGGAAACTTTCTTTTTGATATCGTTTTTTTAGTGTTTTTAGTTGGTGTTTGTTGCATTCTTTGTGTTTTATCACACATTGTAAGCTCCTGTTCATCCATCCTGATATAGATATTATTGCAAAGTAGTCATAACTATATACATTTCCCTGTAAACACATACATATCTAAACTTGTGTATATATGTGACTCCCTGATGTATATGGATGTCTTACCAGTGCAGTCCACTTACATCTAATCCTTCAAACACAATGGCCTACATAATAAGTAGATACAAACACGAGAAATAACAAAAAAGCAGCAAACAAATACAATCCAGCCCCTGTCTGCGAGGCTGTTGAACTCTGGTTGGGTTTTTCAGAGGCAGCAGGTCCAGACAGGCTTTACTGAGAAGCTGGTGGAGGGAGGGAGGCGGTTAAACACTAACCCTGTTGTTGTGCTCCGTCTCTCCTCCTGTTGAAACACCAGGCACAGATAGCCTCAGGGCTCAGATTTTTTGGGAAGTTTATGTTGATGGTTTATGTTCTTAAATGGCATTTTATCTCAGTAAAGTCCTGGAGCAACGGGGTGACAGTTTAGACAAAGGAGATGAAGAACACGCTCACTTGGCCTTTCCACATAGTGTGTATTTCTGAATCCTTCTTAGTGATGAAAGGTCCTCTCAGCTCACTGAATCCCTCTTGTTTTGGCTCTCGTCAGTGAGACAAGAGCCAAAACTGTGCGATCCCTTTTATGAGACAAAGCATTTGAACCAGTCCACAGATCAGTCATGCGTGGCGACCTGTTAGTGAGGTGACATTTAGGTTTTTGAATGTGGTGCCTCCTTCTGTGTCTCTTCTGCCCTTTTCCCTTAAATAAAACCTGTGTTTCTTCTTTGACAGGCACGTTTGGCCGCATCTTCCACGGCGTGCTGCTGGATGAAAAGGACTCCAGTAAAGAAAAGCAGGTCTTTGTAAAGACAGTGAAAGGTATGCACACATTTGGCAAAATATGGGAACATATCACCAAGTACGTTGTTAGTTCCCTGGTTTAAGGTGCTATTCACTGTGTGAGTGTGTTGTTTAGAAAAGTGATTGCTGAAATGCCCAGACACGAATGTATTGCTGAAGATCTGAGACTAATGACAGCGCTGCTTAGCTCTCGAGTAAACAGTAACACAGGTTTGAAAGTTAATGAATGATATTTCTCGCTCATGCTGCAGCGTTTGCCAGTGAAAGATCCTTTATGTGGGACGCTTAGGTTCTTGTCAGCGGCATGAGTCAGATTTCTCTGCCAGTTGCCTTCTGACCTCTCCATTCTCTCATGTTTACTCAGGGAGGGGTGGATACCAGTCAGGGAGCAATATCCTCATGCCAGTCTTGGCTTTGTTAAAGTCTTTACTTCCTCCTTATGCGCCTTTAGGGAAAAGAACAATACTGCTTCCATAAGTACCAGGCGGTGGCAAAGCTGCATACACAGATTAAAATGTGTCCGGCAGTGAGTTTGGCACAAGTCTGTGTTCCTCTGAGGTTTCCCACTACAAATGACTGTTGGCAGGGGAATGTGTGCAGGGAAACAAATACAAATTCACACACAACGTGGGGTCCAAGAGTTCAGACAGTTCTACGAACTTTTTACTGCATAAGTCACTCCAGTTCTGCTCCAGTTTTTAATCTGATTTTGTTTCTGATTAAATTATTTAGATCATGCATCTGAAGTGCAGGTGACCATGATGTTGACTGAAAGTTGCAAGCTTCGTGGACTTCATCACAGGTGAGTGGAACTAATTCCTATCTTTAAATAACTTTTTGTTAAATTTGACTTAATTTAATTAAAGACATTTAAATATCAAAGGTTTTAACAATATAATTAAATGTGAAAGACAATGAAAAATAAGTAAAACATAACCCCCAATGTGTTGTTTCTGTTAGAGCCTCAATGTATCCACACAGTGGGCACACTTCTGAACCAGATTCAGAGTGTCCGCGGGGTCTTAAAAAGTATTAAAAGTTGATAAATCAATTTAGCGACAACATGAAACGCCCTTTAATTACTGCAACGACATGTCGGGAAACCCCCTCAAGACGGCCCCATGCATAGCGCGCCGTAAAATGCTGCTTCTTATTTTAAGTTTCGTTGCCTTGCTCCACTCTGGGGGGGGGGGGGGGGGGGGGGGGGGGGGGAAAGAGGAGAGGAGAAGAGAGAAGAAGAAGAAGAAGAAGA